CATTCTTTAACCTAAGTCCTTGCAGGAAGGACTGGGTCTCTTGTCCGTGGTTGGGTCCTCAGTGCCTTATCTGGCAGCATTGCAGTTTCTTAGTAAATATTTGTTGAATGAACACATAGTGTTAAAATTTCTATAATGCTTTCATATTTGGTTTTATCAGTTGGAAATCCCAGGAAGTTGGCTGATAGTATCACCCCAGTTTCACAAATGATGGAACGAAGGTTAAAGAGAATAAATTAGTTATCCCAAAAAGCCTCAGGCCTAAGTAGCAGAGCTAGGACTATAAGCTCTAAATCTGTTCATTTCTTCATCCCCTGTTCTTTCCAGAACAGCCTTTAAAACATTAATAAGCATAAATTCCCCCTCTTTGCTCCCCAAGTTAAAACCCTCTCTACTTAAGAGCATGACACAGGAAGTTACCTTATGAAACCTTTTCCGAATTACCTACTGTCTTCCCCATCAGCTACAATCTTTTTGGGCCAGTTTGGATTATTCATAATAGATTCTTCTAAGTTGCCTGTGATGGGTGCCTATGATACATTCTTTTTGAAAAAAAAAAAAAAATAACAATTTTAATGCTGTATTCTTTTCCCCCAAACATTTTAAGGTGTAAATTTATTAATACTATGAATCTAAGTTTTTAAAGTCAAATTTCCAGGGGCGCCTGGATGGCTCAGTCGGTTAAGCATCTGACTCTTGGTTTTGGCTCGGGTCGTGATCTCAGGGTCCTGGGATTGAGCCCCGTGTCGGGCTCTGAGCTCAGTGCGGATTCTGCTCGTCCCTCTCCCTCTGTTACTCTCTCTCTCTCTCTCAAGTCAATCAGTCTTTAAAATAAAATTTCCAAAGTGGTGAGAGGAATGTTCTCCAATGTATTTTTGCCTGGTCCTTCTGATCATTTTGAGATAGAAATTTCTTTCTTTTTTTTTTTAAGATTTTATTTATTTTTTGACAGAGCCAGTGAGAGAGAGAACACAAGCAGGGGGAGTGGGAAAGGGAGAAGCAGGCTTCCTGCCAAGCAGGGAGCCCGATTCGGGGTTTGATCCTAGGACCCTGGGATCATGACCTGAGCCGAAGGTAGATGCTTAATGACTGAGCCACCCAGGCACCCCGAGATAGAAATTTCTGAAGTGTTGAACTGGCTTGGCTGATATTTCTGGACTCAGGCTCAAGAGAGAGAAACCTTCCCTCTGATATTAGGATAGAAAAAATAAAACACCGACCAAACATTTAAGAGTCTCAAATGGTGGCAAACATCTGGGTGCACATTTTGCCAAAGGCATTCACTGAAGCTAAAGACCAAGCAACACACAGCCAAGGTTCTAAGAAAGGACTTCAAAATCTATGAATCTGATCTAATTCTAATTTATGTTTCGTCTCTGTTGGAAAGATCATTTGGTGGCTCCAGCAAGATTTTATCCGATTTGATTAGTGGGTGAGAGTTGGTCCTCCCAGACCACTAAATTTGAACTTAACCATCATTACCTTACAAATAACTTTAAAAGAGGGGTGCCTGGGTAGCTCAGTTGTTAAGCGTCTGCCTTCGGCTCAGGTCATGATCCCAGCGTCCTGGGATCGAGCCCCACATCGGGCTCCCTGCTTGGCTGGAAGCCTGCTTCTCCCTCTCCCACTCCCCCTGCTTGTGTTCCCACTCTCGCTCTCTCTCTATCAAATAAATAAAAACCTTAAAAAAAAAAAGAATAATTATCTTAACAAATTAAACACACACACACACACACACACAAATAACTTTAAAGAGTTACTTGAACAATACCCCAAAGCTTTGATTTCATTGTGACATGGCAACACAAATTGAATTCTCTTTGCCCACCGTGGACGTTGACCTTTAGTATTAGAACAGAGGCATCGAGGGGAATAAATAAACTGCCGGTATTGTTTCCTCCAGGATCCAGCCATGGAAATATATGGTAGGGACTTGAGGAGCAGTTTTGCATGGAAAAACAAAAACAAAATAAAAAACCCCTGCATTTTCTTTTTTTTCGCTGGGTGCCTGGCTTCTCAAATGAGGCGGGACAAGCTATTGTGTTTGTTCTGGCTCTTACAAAGCGAGATCACATCATCCCTCGATGCGGCTTGTTTTATTCGCAGCTTCACAACCCATGGCTTTGTTGTCCTGCTGCACAGTAGGGCAGGCTCACGAGCAGTGCGCTGGATCCATACAGGCTTTTCAGGGAGCGTTTCTGAGTTTGTCATTTTGCCATCTGTCCTCTTCTCTCCCCTGGCTTTTCAGACGATCCACATTGTGTTCGACTCTTCGGTTTCTGACTGGGGTGGCGGGGATACTGCCATAGGTAGTATGGCAGTATCCATAGATACTGCCATACTTCAAGAAAGAAGTGGAGGTGAGCAGTATTTCAAATAACTGAGCAGAAAAGAGAAAAATCTTGCTCCCTCTCTGAGGTTTGTATCAGACATAAGATAGGAAGTATTAGGATTATGTTGTGTTATTTCTCAGCGACTGTTGTTTACTTAATTTTTGAAACAACTAATGTCGCCTCCTTAAGCTTTGGGTCATCTGGTCAGGAAGAGGCTGGGACCCGAAGCCATAAATCACTTGTTTCCACCTGGTGGGATGAGCGTGCGTCCTTCTTGTCTCTTACAGGTGGCTCAGTGCAAGTGTCGTATTATCTCGTTGAAAACCTTTTGTCCTGCTTTGAGCCGTGGGCATGCAGTAGGACCAGCAAGCTTTCAGTGTGATCGGCAGTTTCTGGTCAGGACACCTGCTGCCTGAGCACAGTGCGACCATTGTTTCTCAGATTGAACGTGCTCTGGGCACAGCCACCACATCTTTTTTAGCCCGCAGTTGAGTCTTTGGTGTTTTTTTTTTTTTTTTTCCCCGTGTGCATTTCATTTTTGGTGGAACAAATGTCTGTCTTGTTCTTCTGGTTTTGCTGGTATGAATTTAACGTGTACGTGTTTCCTGCAAACTTGTATTTCGAAGAGCGCGTGCCAAGGTATCGTGGTGGAAAGAGTGCTGGGTCAGAGTGGTGGAGGCAGGCGATCTGGACCTTTATCCCCGATCCTCTCATCCCTGCTGTGTGGCCTCAGGAAAGATATTGAAACTCTCTGGGCATCCGGGGTCTTCATTTGTAACCTGAGGGAGTTTTGGGGTTCCTGGAATGATGGATTGCCAAGTCCTCCAGTGTTAAGGTTCCACCACTGTGTTTTGTGTTTTCTGGGATGCCAAGATGTCAAAACGGAGTGTCGGTGAAGTGTTCACTAGGGCTGGGCTCCTGTGAGACCGTAAGTAACACCAGGAGGCGCTCTTTTTAATCAAGCAAAAAATAATATGGCATGGTCAGTGATAGAGAGTTTTGGATGCATTAATTAAAGGAGGGAAATAACTATGGTTTTCTTGTCTCCTTTTGGCAACTTGGCAGTAAACAAACACAAATTTCTTATTTTTAGGAAAGTAGTGTTATTCAGCCCTGGAAATGTTATTGGACACTTGGGTTTTAAACTTATAAATTAAGAATTATTGAGCTCAGATAAATGAAGACTTTTTAATTTATTAGCTCTTACTGTTCAGATGATAAGAAACCCACAGATCAGGCTAATATAGGATAGACATCCGCTTACTGATTTGTATCCCCATCAGTTTAATAAAAATCTTATTTAAAAATATTGTGATTCTACAAGTAATACATATGAGTTGTGGAAAATTTGGAAAACACCAAGAAGGAAAGACAAATAGCTTCTAATTCCATGACTCAGAAATAGTTCTTTTTTCATACTTTTGTGTCTTTAATTATATACACTTAGTTTGTAGAACAAAATTGGGATCATACCATACATATATAACTTTCTTGGGTTCCTTTTGAGATGATTTTTGGGCCTGAGCTTTCAGATGAAGGTGGAGATTAATGTAATATTATGCTTGGCACGCATGTGACAGGGTCTGTTTTGCCTTACAGAAATAGAATTGTAGCCCTAGTATCTGAAAATAACATTTGTCCTGTTCCCTCTTGAACAGGCTTTCAATATTCAGCATATATAGATGTTGTCATAATGAATACTATAATGAACAAATGAGGACTTCTTAATTTATTAGTTCTTAATTGTTCACTAATTGCTTTTCTAAGGTTTCCTCACTTTAGTTTTCTGTACCAGAATTGCTAGCTGTAATATCAGTGAGCATAAGTTATTTTAACACTATTTTTCTGGATGCCTTGATTTCTCAGGCTGAAGCATGGTAGCTGGTGTGGGCCAGGCCACAGGTTTGGCATGAAGGAGGGTGGTTAAGAGATTCCTTTTGCCTAAATATATGGTGCATTTGATAATATTTATAATTCACTAGTTGAATATTGGTTTCATATATCATTTTTCTCTAGTAGGAAATGAAAGATGATTAGTTTCCCCTTTGGATTATTTAGCCTATAAAATTTTCTGTTACACCATTTGCTTTGCATTGAAAACGCATTCTAAATCCTGAACCACATTGGAATTCTTTATGACCTTCCCCTTATGTGTCTTTCGGTGGTGCCCTTTGAAGTCCTGAAATGTTTTTATATTTGATTGAGATTAAATCTGGGTTTCATTTTACTTTTTTAAAACATATTGAGCAAGTTAATTTTCTGTTCGAGTTCCTAAGGGGAATGATTCTAGCCCTCTGTGTCCCAAGAATTCAGACTGAGCCTTGCCAGAACATTCCTGTGGTTTTCCACAGGGCAGATCACTGTGTTCATGAAATTTTAGTTGTAGCTTGTGTTTTCTGTGGTTAATTAAAACATCTGGCTTTTGCATTTTCCACAAACAGAGTATAATCATTTGGCCGAACCTTTTCAACAATGATTAAATGCCCCAGTCCTTCTTTAGGATAGCCCAAACTTATCTTTCGGACACCTTATATGCTATTGTCTCTGTTCATTAATGATTTTAAACAGTTGGAAAACATTTGGGGTTATCCTGCCAAACATAGACTCTTGAGAGAGAGAGTTTGTGAGTACGAATCCCTCCAATGGGCTCTGGCTTTTCCCCTGCAGGTCGGAGCTGCTGTGGGTGAGCTGCTGTGGTCTGTGGCCAAGCATGCTGCTGTGGCCGGATCTGCCCAGCCGTGGAACAGAAACATTTGCTGGATGGAAAATCCATAAAAGAAAGCTCCTGTGAAAGCCGGAGACCGACGCTAATTAAGTAAAATCAGGTTAGTATCAGAGAGGCGGGATGAAGCGGATTGGGTCAGCTAGGGAAAAGCGGTTTTGTTTATTCCATAAAGTGTTTCTGAAACAGCCCCAAATAGTCCTTCCCAGTTATTCGAGAGATTCCTAGCATTGCAGAGATGGCCGGTAGATCCTGACGTATCTCCGTGTGCAGTGAATCGCTGTCTCCTCTCTTTGTCTCCTCTGCCCCACCTTCTTGCTCATCTTCCTCTCCTCTTGCAGAGAAGAGAAAGTCTTCAGCACAACGTATGTAAGAGGCCCCAACCAGAGGCCCCCCATAACAACCGCAGTGACCTTGGCTTGACTTTGGAGAGAAACCCTCTTCTTGAGAGAGCATGGGCTTGCACTGGTGCCTTCAGACTTGCCCTCATTTGTGTTTTCACACTGGGAAGGGGGGAGTCATGGAGACCTGCCATTTCTGTTGGGGCGCTTCCGGCCCTGCTTTGCTTGGCGAGATTTTACTTACTCTTATCTCCCCTTAGACAAAAGCTAGCAACATGTTCATTTTTGGCAGTGTGTGCATTTGGCATGAAGATACTCCTATAGCACAGAAGAAAAGAAGTGTCCTGAAAATAATAGGAATGTAGATAAATGCAAAATAGCCTAACGGTAGACCAGGAGAATGAAACAGAACAGCCTCACATGGAGCAGTACGGTGGGGAGAATTCCTTTTGAGAACGTGTATTATACATACAGGTAGGGGCATGACAAACAAGTCCTATTGGATATTCAGGGGGCAACTCAGCATTATGTATCAAGAACAGTTCATAAATACTCACCAGACAGGAGCGGGTCAGCAGTCTCGAGAACCTGTAAAGTAGTGAATGTCTGTTGACTTCACCCACCCAGCATCCCTTTCCTCCTTTCAATGAATCACCCAGATTTTCCCTGGGCAGTTAGTCACCCTTCCTTTGTTTTCAGCCTGTATAGTCGGAGGAGGTGACCTCACTGCCTCTGTTATGGGCATGTGACATAAGCTTGGCTAGTCAGGGTCCCAAGGATCGATTCATGGAGGACCCAGTATTTTCACTGACCCCGTTGCGAAGAGGTTTTTCCTTTTTTTTTTTTTTTAAAGATTTTATTTATTTGCGAGAGAGAGAATGAGAGACAGAGAGCATGAGAGGGAGGAGGGTCAGAGGGAGAAGCAGACTCCCTGCTGAGCAGGAAGCCTGATGTGGGACTCGATCCCGGGACTCCAGGATCATGACCTGAGCCGAAGGCAGTCACTTAACCAACTGAGCCACCCAGGCACCCGAGGTTTTTCCTTTTTCGTGGGTTTGTTAAGCTGGAGCTGCTAGTTTCCCGCTTTGCCACCACTTAAGGGAAAGCCTTTCTGAGAATAAAGTTAACACAGAGGAGATCAGAGCAGGGAGATACAGGAAGTGAGATGAGGCGGGAGGGGGGCGCGCACACACACACACAGACACCCAGACACACAGACTCACACACACCTTATGACCCCAGAGGCAGTACCATCTAAAGCCAGCAACTCTGGTTTCACTTTCATGGCAGGTTAGGGAGTTAGTTTGAAATAGATATCCGTCACTTAGATCCAAACAGGTCCTGATTGGGAATGCCTTCTAGGTGTGAGGTCTTAGCGGGAGATGACTGGCACTCCCTGTCTTTAGAGGCTCACAATGGAGGGGATGGGCTGGATCGGGATTCTGACACACAATGTGAAAAATGTATCACTAGAGGTAAAAGCTAAGCTCTGTGGGAGTAGAGGTGCAATTATGAATTCTGCTGGGTGTTGGAGAGACTGGCAGAGAGCTATGATTTAACAAAGGGAGAAGTAGAATTTAGTCTTCAGGAATATTTTAAAAAAATACACTTAATTCAATTACTTGCTTTTTGAGTCTGAAAGAAAGAGAGGCTTTCCAGAGCTTATAGTTAAAGTAAACAGCAGATAAGGAAGATAATTTCAGAGCTTCACGAGTAGTAGAATCCTGGTGTTTGCCGTAAACACAATTGTTTTGGGAGCAGCCAAATGAGAGGTTATCAGAAAGCTGTCCAGAGTTTATTTTAACACTGCAGGGTAACAGCTGCTCTTCTCACTAAAACCTCAGTTGGCTTTCTGTTCAAGCAGAATTCCAAGCATGTCATGAATTTTAAAGATTTATTTCTTCTTCTTATGTTAGACTTTATTATTTTTTATAATTGACACTGCTTTCTTGTTTTTAATTTTTATTATTTATTTATTTATTTATTTTTTTGAGAGAGAGAGAGAGGTAGAGTGTGCATGGGCTAGGGGGTGGGCAGGAGCAGAGAGAGAGGGAGAGAGAATCTTAAGCAGATTCCATGCCCCACATGGAGCCCGGCGCAGGGCTCGATCTCACAACCCTGAGATCAATACCTGAGCCGAAATCAAGAGTCAGACGCTTAACCGACTGAGCCACCTCTGCGCCCGTTTGCTTCTTTAAATTAACAGATTTTATTTTTGGGGGTAGTTTTAGGTTACAGAAGAATTGAGCAGAAAGTATAGAGAGTTCCCATATATCCCCACTACCATTCAGACTTTTCCCTATTAACATCTTGCGTTAGTTTGGTATATTTGTTACAATTGATGAGCCAATATTGATACATTATTATTAACTAGAGTCCATAGTTTACATTAGGGTTCGCTCTTTGTGTTGTACATTATTTGGGCTTTGACAAATACATAATGATATGTATGTACCATTATAGAGTCACACAGAATGGTTTCAGTGCCCTAAAAATCCCGTGTTCTGTCTATTTGTTCATCCTCCCATCCCTCTGAATTCCTGGCAACTACTGATCTTTTTCCTATCTCCATAGTTTTACCTTTTCCAGAATATCATATATTTGGAGTCATACATTATGTAGTCTTTTCAGATTGGCTTCTTTCACTTAGAAATAGGCATTGAAGATTCCTCTGTGTTTTTTTGTGCCTTGATAGCTCATTTCTTTTTAGTGCTGAATAATAGAATTACCATTCTATTGTCTGAATGTGCCACAGTTCATTTATCCATTTGCCTATTGAAAGATATCTTGGGTACTCCTAATAAAGCTGCTATGAACATTCATGTGCAGGTTTTTGTGTGGACATAAATTTTTAGTTCCTTTGAGTAAATACCAAGGAGCATGATGGCTGGACTGTATGGTATAAGTATGTAGTTTTGTAAGAAACTGCCAAACTGTCTTCCAAAGTGCCTGCACTATTGCATTTCCAAAAGCAATGAATGAGACTTTGTTTCTCCACATCTTTGCCAGCATTTAGTATTGTCAGTGTTTTGGACTTTAACCATTTTAATAGGTGTATGTGGCATTTCTTTGTTATTTTTATTTGCAGCTCCCTAATGATGTATGATTTTGAGCCTCTTTATATATGCTTGTTTACCACGTGTATATCTTCTTTGGTGAGGTATCTGTTCAGATCTTTTGCCCATTTTTAAGTCAGATTGTTCATTTTCTTATTGTTGAGCTCTAAGAGTTCTTTGTATGTTTTGGATGCCAGTCCTTTATCAGATGAGTCTTCTGTGGATATTTTCTTCCAGTTCTGTGGCTTGTTTTTTTCATTCTCTTGACAATGTCTTTCTCATTGCTGAAGTTTTTAATTTTAATGAAGTCCAACTTATCACTTATTAATTTTTTCATGGATTGTTGCTGTTGTATCTAAAAGTCACTGCCAACCCAAAGTCATTCAGGTTTTCTCCTTATCTTCTAGAGTGTTATAATTTCATGTTTTACATTTAGATCTATGATCTACATACATTTTGAGTTAATTTTTGTGGAAGCTGTTAAGGTCTTTGTCTAGATTCATAGTTTGTATATGAAATTACAGTTATCCTAGCACCATTTGTTGAAAAGACTATCCTTTCTTTATTGAAGGGCATTGGCTCCTTTGTCAAAGATCAGTTGACTGTACTTGTGTGGGTCTGTTTCTGGACTCTGTGTTCTGTTCCATTGATCTCTTTGTTTATTTTTTCAACAGTACCACACTGTCTTAATTACTCTAGCTTATAGTAAATCTTCAGTTCAGATAGTGTTAGTCCTCTGACTTTGTTCTTCCCCTTCAGTATCGTATTGGCTATTCTGGACTTTTTGCTTCTCCTTGTAAACTTTAGATCGGTTTATCAATATCTACAAAATAATTTGCCAGGATTTTCATTGAGATTGTGTTGAATCTATAGGTCAGGTTGAGAAGAACTGATATCTTGACAGTATTGAGTCTTCCTATCCATGTATGTGGAATCACTCCATTTATTTAGAACTTCTTGATTTCTTTCATCAGAGTTTTATAGTTTTCCTTATATAGATCTTGTACATATTTTACTAGATTTATATCTAAGTATTTCATTTATTTTTATGCTAGAATAAACAGTATTATATTTTTAATTTTAAATACCAATTGTTTATTGCTGGTGTGTAAGAAAGCAAGTGACTTTTGTATATTACCATTGAATTCTGCAAACTTGCTATAATTGCTTATTTGATCCAGGAGTATTTTTATTGATTCTTTGGGATTTTCTGCATAGACAGTCATGTCATCTGTGAACACAAAGACAGTTTTATTTCTTCCTTCTCAATCTCTTCCTTTTATTTTCTTGTCTTACCTCACTAGCTAGGACTTCTAGTATGATGTTGAATGGGAGTGGTGAGAAGTATCTTGCCTTGTTCTTGATCATGAGAAAGCATGTAGTTTCTCGCCATTTAAGTATAAGATTAGCTATAGGTTTTTTGTAGCTGTTCTTTATCGAGTTGAAGAAGTTTCCCCCTCTAATCCTGGTTTGCTGAGAGTTCTTTTCGTGAGCGGGTATTGGATTTTTATCAGATACTTTTTCTACATCTATTGATATGATCATATGATTTTTTTTTCTTTTTTAGCTTATTGATATGATGGATTATATTAATTGATTTTTGAATGTTGAACCAGCCTTTTGATGGGGATTGTGTTGAATCTCCAGATCAGTTTGAAGAGTATTGCCATCTTACCAATATTAAGAGTTCTGATCTAGGGTGGGTGGGTGGCTCAGTGGGTTAAGTGTCCACCCTCTTGATTTCGCCTCAGGTCATGATTTCAGCATTGTGAGATTGAGGCCTGCATCCAGCTTCATGCTGGGCGTGGAGCCTGTTTAAGATTATCTCTCTACCCTACCCACCCCCTGCCCCCCGCCCCCCGGCATGCATGTGTATGCGTGCACACACGCTTGCTCTCTCTTAAAAAAAACTGGAAAAAAAAGAGTTCTGATTCATTAACATGGGATATGTTTCCATTGATTTAGATCCTTTTCTTTTTTAAGATTTATTTAGAGAGAGAGAACGGGGGAGGGGCAGAGGGAGAGGGAGAAAGAGAATCCTAGGCAGAGTCCCCACTTAGCAGGGAGCCTGATGCAGGGCTCGATCCCACAACCCCAAGATCATGACCTGAGCTGAAACCAAGAGTCAGATGCTCAACCGACTGAGTCACCCAGGTGCCCCTAGATCTTTTTAAATTTCTTCAGCAGTGTTTTGTTTTTTTTTAGGCAACAGATCTTGCACTTTGCTATTAGATTTATTCCTAAGTATTTTTTCTTTTTGATACCTTCATAAAATGGAATCCTTTTTAAAATTTCATTTTCAGAGTATTCATTGCCAGTATATAGAAATACAGTTGATTTTTATAAATTGATCTTGTTTCCTTAAGCCTTGAACTTGTTTATTAGTATTGATAGTTTTTTATTGTGTTGTGACTTCCTTAGGATTTTCTATATACCAGATTATGTCATCTGCAAATAGAGATAGTTTCATTTCTTGTTCAGTCTGGATGTTATTACCATTATTTTTTACAGTGATTTGAAAACTTGGCTGTGATATGAGAAGTACAAAGTAATGTGCTTTGGAGTTACTGATGAAATGATCCTATTATGTAGCTTTTGAAAAGAACAAAAGATGATAATTATGAATTTATCTCATTATCGAGTTAGTTATACAAGTTATACAATCGGTGAGCTTCTTAGCCACTCCTATATCTTCGTTAGGGAAGTGCCTATTCAAATTCTTTGCGTATTTTCATATTGAGTTATTTGTCTGTAAATCCCTTATCAGATATATAATTTGCATGTATTTTCTCCCAGTCTGTGGCTTCTCTTTTCATTTTCCTAATGCTGTCCTTAAAGCTCAAAAGAATTTATTCGAATTCTGGTTAACATACAGTGTGAAAATAGTTTCAGGTGTAAGATATTGTAATTCAGTACTTCTATACAACACCCAGTGCTCATCACAACAAGTGCACTCCTTAGTCCCCACC